GTGCCTGCTTCCCTTTACCATGACTGTAAGTTTCCTGAGACCTCCCCAGCCATGTTTTTTGTAGAGCCTGTAGAACCGTGAGCCAATTAAACCTCTTTTCTTTGTAAATTACTCAGTCTCAGGTATTTCTTTATAGCAGTGGGAGAACTGACTAATATATCCTACCTTCTAAAAGTCTACTAAGAAAAACTATGCTTCAGGTCCTGCTTCCTCTAATCATGACTAGAAGCTGAAGCCTAAGGCTCTCTGAGTCACTCACTGTACAAACTCTCACTCCCATAATGCTCTGGATATCCCCTTAAGCTGACCCTGGTACCCATGCCTTCTCTCCTCAAAAATCTACCTTTGGGTCATAGCACCCACTAGATGATGCCTCTTTATTCACATCCTCCTCTCTCTAAGTCCCTCTTCCTCCTTAAGTACGGAAACCTTGACTCTGCCTGAAGACACCAAGTTTCCTGACACCTCTCAAGCAGCAATCATCTTCTCTTTCACAGGTCACAGTCTTTCTCTCCATTTCAACTCTGAGCACTATGAATTAAACAGATATCTGACCCCAGCAACATGTAAGGCATTGTGGAAAAAGGGGGAGTCCTAAGTTATAAAGCAGTCAAAAATCTCTAATTGGGGAGCTTAAATTCCAGTGGAAATGCAGACAAATATGTCATTTTATTTATTTACTTATTTTAATTAATTAATTTTTTGAAGCTGAGGGTCCCGCTATGTTGCCCGGGCTGGTCTTAAACTCCTGGGCTCCAGCTATCCTTCCTGCCTCAGCCTCTTGATAGCTGGGACTATAGGCATGCACCACTGTGCTTCACTTTGTAACATTTTAAATTGTGCTAAGAGGCATGAAAGATAAAGCAGGAAGTCTTATTTTGTGTGGGGGTGGAATATTAATTTAAATAGAATGATCAGTGGCATTTAAAGTGGAGGTGTGAAGGACAGGGAGTCAGCCAAGTAAAGAGTGAGGTGGTAAAGAACATTTCAGACCAAGGGGGAAACAGGGCCTCTATACAGACCTCCTGCCTCCTCAGCAACCCATTCTGAGGATGTTGTCACCAGCAGAACATGAGCACTTCCCAAATCACTGATTGCAACCCACCAGGACAATTTGCTTTCTTTATGACACACTCACTTCCATCTCATACAGAACTCCAAGACCCATGTTCTCATCCTGACCCTTGCTCTCCACTGAGGCTCTCTTCTCACCACCCTCACTTCACTACCCAATTTATAACCTTTATTTCTCTCCTTATTCAGTTATAATCCCCCTCATACACATAACGTTCAATCCCTTGACTCTGCCTCCTTCCTTCAAATTCCCATGGCAAAAATCCCAATCACTCTGCACTCTGCTTTTTCTGAGAATGTAACTATACCAATGAGAATTGCTGGTCACCCCACCACCAAACAGATTTGAAACACAATAAATTTATAACTAAGTTCACATGGGTTTTATATACTGCAAAGCAGCACACAGATGATTCTCTATTAGTTTCCTTCTCCACTCTCTCTAATGACTATTTAATATTGCCTGTCTCTTCAACATTTCTACCCTACTCCTAACTTTGGCTTTCATAATACGCTACTACAATGGTTTTCCCTCCTATCTTTCCAATTATTCTTTAAGTTATTTTGCTGTCTTCTTTTCTGATCTACAAGTAGGAGATCTTCAATATTCAGATATGGGCTATTTTCTCTCATTGCTTTACATTCTTCCCAGGTGATCTCATTCATTTCCATGATTCTAAATAACATCTATATGCTAATAATTCCCAAATTTCTGTCTTGCCCAGACCATCACTGTAATTTGAAGACCACTATTCTAGTTTGAACCACCATCATGTGCTGGTGTTACAATAATCCTCCTAAGTGATTTCCCTACTAACAGTACAATCTTCTTACAGTAGCCAGAGCCATCTTTTTGAGGTACAAATCAAATCATGTTATTCCCTTACTAAAACTTCCACAACTCTCAGAACAAAATCCTAGAATACGTCGTCTCCTGTAGCTGCTGTAATGAATTACCACAAACTTGGAGGCATAAAACAACAGAAATTTATTCTCTCAGTTCTGGAAACCAGAAGAGGTGCTGGCAGGGCCATGTTCTCTTCAAAGACTCTAGGGGAGATCTCATTCCCTACCTCTCCCAGCTTCTAGTGTCTCTGGGCACTCACTGACTTGTGGCTGCATCATTCCAATCTCAGCCTCTGCCTTCACCTGGGCCTCCTCTTATCTCCTCTGTATGTTTTTTACTACACGTGTCACTGGACTTACATCTAGAAAGACATTTTCCCACCACAATAAGGTCACATCACAGGTTCCAGGACTACGACATGGACACATCTTTTGGAGGGTCACCATTTAAACCCACTATAGCTTCAAGGCCCTGCCTCAGCTGTCTCTGCCTCCTGCTGCAGCTTCATCTCTCTTTGTTTACCAGATTCTACTCATTCATATACTTCCTTGATCTAGGATAGCTTTTTCCCACCCTTGGTCTTTGCCTATGCTATTCTCCTTTCAGTCTTTACCTAGCTAACTTCTCCTTCTGGTCTTCAGTTATATCTAACTTTCACAGAGAAGTATTCCTTGACTCTATAAATGTAAGTATGTCTCCACTGTTACCCTTCCTTTAAAAAGTACTCTGTGGCCGGGTGCAGTGGCTCACACCTGTAATCCCAGCACTTTGGGAGGCCCAGGCGCTTGGATCACTTAAGGTCAGGAGTTTGAGACCAGCCTAGCCAAATTGGTGAAACCCTGCCTCTACTAAAAATACAAAAATTAGCCAGAAATGGTGGCATGCACCTGTAATCCCAGCTACTCAAGAGGCTGAGGCATGAGAATCACTTGAATCCGGGAGGCGGAGGTTGCAGTGAGCCGAGATCACACCACTGCACTCCAGCCAGGGTGACAGAGTGAGACTTGGTCTCAAAAAAACAAAAAACAAAAAACCCACTCCATTCCTTTCCTTCACAGCTTTGACTATTTTCCTTTGTTTCATCATGTTGTACTGACAAATGGATTTACATTTACTCATTAATATTTGTCTCCACCACTGGACCATGAACTCTTCATACCATCTTATGAAGCATATCTGTTTTCTTCGCTTCTGTATGTATACCCAGAGCATAAAATGGCATCTGGCACACAGTAGCCTTAACTAAATAAGGGAGTACTAAATAAATAGAGTGCCTCCTCTTCGCCTTTTGAACAGGATTAGATAAATGCAAATAAATTGGTTAGAATGGTGACCAGACACCCGAAGACATTGCTGGCCTGCAGTAGCTATCACACCTAGCCCAGCCTGGAAGATTGATAAAGCTTGGCACAAAAGAAAAAGTAGCGCCCAATAATTATTAAGTTAGAAGGACTTCTACATTTTCATTTTTTTTTAAACATGACACAGCCTCAGGAGATTCTGAGGACATGTGCCCTCTAATTTACATTTCTGCTGTGGGACAATTATACAACTCAGGAACTCATTTCATCTTTTACAGAAATCTCCATCTCCTGTCCAAAAAGGATTGATTGAAAATTTCTCTGAAACTTTAGGAAAAACTTCAATACAAACTGATTTCCAAGCCCCAACTACTAAGAAGGGTGATTCACAAAACTTTCTTAATTCTGCAAATTACAAAATGATTCAAGTGTTATTAATACTCAATTCTACTGGCCTGTTCTAAAGTCTAGCATGCACAGAGGCATGCAAAGAGGTCTAGCATGCAAAAAGAAACTTTCTGAGACACCAGAAATTCTCCACCCTGCTTTTTTTCCTGAGGTATTTTTTTAAAATTGAGATAGCATTTAAATACCATAAAATTTAGCCTTTTAAAGTGTACCAGCCAGTGTTTTCCCCAACATTATATAACCTTTATCACTAATTCCAGAACATTCTCATAATCCCCTACTCCCTGCCACCTGCCAAAAATTCATCTCTACTAGCAATCATTCGCTATTCTTCCCTTTCCCAGCCCCTGGCAAATACTAATGTACTATCTCTGGATTTTCCAGTCTTTTTTAAAAACTTAAACACAGAGAGATGAAGTGATTTACACAGAGCTGCAAGTCACTTAGTAAGAGAGTGAGATTAGAATACAAGTATTTACAGAAACTTTTAAGTATATAAAAATCAGTGAAAACATACTTAGGTCACCTATATATATGCTAAATGCAGCTATAAGACCATTTGATGTTAGAGTCTTTAGAATAGTCATTCTCAGGCAGTGTGTCTGGCCAAGGAGAGACAAATGTATGGGGATTTAGGAATCACTAAAGAAGAAGACACTTAAGCCAGGTGTGGTGGCTCACACCTGTAATCCCAGCACTTTGGGAGGCCGAGGTGGTCGGATCACCTGAGGTCAGGAGTTTGAGACCAGCCTGACCAACATGGAGCAACTCGTCTTGACTAAAAATACAAAATTAGCCAGGCGTGGTGGCACATGCCTGTAATCCCAGCTACTTGGGAGGCTGAGGCAAGAGAATCACTTGAACCGGGGAGGTTGTGGTGAGCCGAGATCTCGCCATTGCACTCCAGCCTGGGCAAGAAGAGTGAAACTCTGTCACAAAAAAAAAAAAAAAGAAAGAGACTTGCCACTTGTGGAAGAAAACTGCATTTATGGACAGGGGAAATATGATGATATGTGGTTTAGAGGACAGACATTTTTCTTTTCCACTCAGGGTACTGAAAATGGTGCTAATATGTCCAGGTGCCAACCTGCTTCCTTTTAAGTGGCCCAATGGGTTCCAGAGATCCCTGATCATTTTAGTTTGTTTGTGAGTAGTTAATAAAATAATGGTCCTAATACCCCTTTAGAATACCTGCTGGTTTATGACATCTTGTAAAATTATATGGGAACTTTGACTTTTTAAATATCTACTGTCTGAATTTTCAAATAAGTAAAAGAACTGCAAGCTGAACTTACTTCCATTGCCATTATAAATGTATACACAGGAGTATGTTCCCATAGGCTAAAATGACCACAATCTATTTGCAAAAATAATTAGGCACACTTTTTATTTTATGTCTTAATCAACATTACAAATACAAAAGGAAAAAAGACAGAAACCACTTATCACAGAGGAAAAATCATCATTCAAAGGAGATTAATCTGAACTTCAACATTCTTTATGCTCATTTAAAAATATTATCAAAACAGGAATTCAAAAGGACAAGTAAATAAAAACCAAGTATTTTATGAATTAAAATTGAGACTTTAAACCAATTAAGACTATACAACTTAAAAATAACCTGTCTTTATCATAGAAAAGTTTGATTTGCCATCATATAATGAATACGCAGGAGATTACTAATGGGTAAGTAAACAAATTTTCTTTTACAAACAAGTTATTTTGAGTTATAGAGATCATCCTGGTGACTAGATTTTTTTTAATGATGACTAAAAATGCCTATTTAGATAGGATACTAAATGACATAGTGAACATTTAAAGTTGAAACTTCCTGTCCACCAAATATTTTCCTAAACATGTTTTTAAGCATATACATTAACCTATAAAGTCAACTCTTAATTATCTACAGCAAAAGAGAACTTTGGTGCTACTAAATTCAATTTTTTAAAATGTAAAATTACAGAGTATTTTGGGAATTAAATTGGAGCATGCCTAAATATTAAAATGTGAAAGTCCCATTTTTCTGTTATGTACTCTATTATGAGGAATGAACAGCCTAACTATAATGAATTATTGATATAAATAAAGCACCACCTTAAAATCTCTTCCTAGCTGGGTCACATCTAGCAATTTAAGGCAAAAGGTAAATAAAGAATTACTTTTAAAAGCCTCATTTCCCTTTTGATAGGAGCATCAAGATACTAAAATAAAAATAATGTAATAAGTACTCCAAAATATAACAATTTTAGTTCTCCAATATGATAAGGGGCTAACAAGAAAACAAACAATAAATAAAAAGATAAAATTTAAAAATAAGTAAAAAATAGAAAATATTTTTAAAAAGCAGCCTAGGCAAGAGAAGTGGGTGGGTTTAGGAGAATCCCTTTTTGAAAAATTCAGAGAATTACTATTAATCTTTCTTAAATTAAATGCAGGATCAAGCATACTGCACGTGAAATTGGGACAATTCTTTGATAAACTTTAAGGTTGCTAAATAACTTACAGAAACTATGAATGCATTTTCATTTTAAGAGGCAAAAAGAAAATATTCCAGATTGCATAACAATTTTATTTTTTGAAATGGTTATCCTAAAGAATTTCCTTAAATTCACATTTTTGCAAAATTCCTACCTTCCAAGTCATCAAGTAAACACTAAAAACAACTTTACTCCTGAATATGGTAAACTCTTTATGAAACATGCATTTTTCATAAATCTAGGCCAAAGTAAGGTAATTGAAATTTAATTCTAAATTCATTCCGTGATTTCTGGACATAATACTGGCATAAAACCAGTAAAAATACTTTTTTAAAAAAGCATTTACTTCCCAAATAATTTAGTTTTGGAAATATTTATATTCTTAGTGAAAATATTACTTTTAGAGTCTAAAGGTTTTAAAAACAAAATTGGTCCAACAATTATCAAAATGAAATGACTATAAACACTGACTAAAACTTCTTACCCACAGAAATAAACCATTTCAGGTGAGTTCAGCTCACTTAATTTTTAAAACCCATTTCTCTTTTCCAGCTTCACAACTGGATTGAACATTGCTCAACTGCTCAACAACATTACCTATGTCAAAAGTGAAAAGATAAAAAGTATTGTAAAGATTTCACAGTGAGTAAATCTGGAAAGAGTATACTGTATAATCAACATTTCAGAGCTGGAAGGGATCTTTAATGTCTAATCCAGTACGCACATTTTATAGATGAGAAAACCAAGCCCAAACACATCAAATAACTTGACCAAAGTCACATTCCTCAGCTGAGCCATTCATTAATTCAATCATTCATTCACCCACTTACTGAAAGGTGCCTAAGTGCCAGGCTGGATGTTAGGAGATGGAAAGCAGCATTCACAATTGCCAAGGCAGTCTTTCTTCCTTGCATTTTCAAGATAAATTCTTAAATTTCCTGATCACCAGAACTCGTAGGAGAGTTCCACAGCCTTGGTAGAACTTAGCCCACTTTTAGTTTCATACATTTCAATAAACATAGTTGGGTTTAACTTCAGAGAAGCCTAAATTGTTGTTTACTTTAAATGATTAAGCATTAACAAAGGGAGGCAGAGTATTCTGAAAGAGTCCCTTTCTAGTACATTTATAACTTAAGGAAGTGAATTCAGAAAATACCCTACACACACAGACAAGTTCACAGAGAGGACAGCTTACAAAATCAGAGGAATCTGAGGTATCAATATATTATAGATCAGTGAAGTCCAATAGCTCAAGTTTACAAAGCATGGAATGTAAACATCTCCCCATTCCATTTAGATATGGGTATGTCTACATGTTAAAAAGACCTCCAAACTCACACTCAAACAAATTCCCTCTTCCAATTACACATGTATCTAAAACCAGGCCTTCTGCCTTAAGATCAACTTTCTTTAATTTCTTTTTGATTAGAAAAAATTAGATTAACAAATAAAATCTAAAATTTAATGTGCTGGCTAAAAAAGAAATTCAAATTCTATGTAATCGAAATAGCAATAACTCAAATGCACATTCATGAGTTTTGTTAAAAAATGGGATGTGCAGTGAACTTACTCAACAACATAAAGCATACCTCATATTTCTTGGACTTTCACATTCTTTGATATTAAGTCTGGCACTTAAATGTTTTGTGTGTTTCAATTCACAGTCAACTCTTTTAAGAAGAGACCGTATTGACAAAGCTCTTAAATAAAACAACCCATAAGTAAGGCACTGTGAAATATTAAACAACAGCACTCTGGACACCCAGTTTCAGTGTGATATACCAAAATGAACCCCAGCTTTCCAGTGCTCCAGAGGACTGCTGGGTGGCTTTTGATAAAATAAAATACAATCTTCACTGAGGCTCTTATGGCGCTTTGACTTCCTTTAAGCTATTGTCAGCTCACGACGAAAGTGCTGTTGTACTCTATTTTTCAAAACTCCAAATTTGATATTTATCTAGAGCATCACAAGTTTTCATTTGTACATCAGGTCGGCCCTCTGGTGTCCGGTAAGCACTAAGACACAGTCCTGAGTGCGGGTGAAAAATGGTTCCATCGTCTTTAAAATGCCAAATAATATTTACTGGTGCAGGGAATCCATCTTTGGGACAATTTTGCATTCCTACATAATTTTTTTGCTCAGGAACCTCTGCACATAACTCTGTCACAGAATTAAACCTTATTTCTTTCTTTGAAGTATATTCAAAGAATTGATTGCCTCCTTGACCATGGCATCCAAACAGTGAAAGGTTAGCACCCGTGGGGTTGTTGTCAGGAGAATTATAATCTAAACATTCAGACGAGATCCCTCTACTGCGAATAGCCCCATGCCAGCCTGGCCTATCCTCTGGAACATGTAAATTAGGAAACACGTTTTTCAAATACCAGTCAAAACTCTTGCATTTCAGCCGCTCTCGTAGTAACTTTCTTTCAGAAATATCACCATAAGCTTCTTTTCTTGCTGGAGGGTTTCTATTGTAGAAGTGCTCTTTGTACTCATCCATCCAAACTTCTGCTGCCCGAGCAGTATTCTGTAGGAAATTGGGGCGAGCATATGGTGCCCGCTTGGGGAACACATGGCCCACGTGGGAACACGGGTGGATCTCCAATTTGCCACCACACTGCCACACCCTAAAAGACAGCTCAAGGTTTTCACCTCCCCACACTTCCATTCCGGTGTCATATGTTCCAAGGTACTGAAAATATTTCTTGCTGACAGCAAACAGTCCTCCAGCCATGGTGGGTGATCTGATGGGATCAATTCTTGATATCCGCCTGTCCCTTTCATGTTTGGGGACAGAATGCCACTGAAACGTTAAACGCCAGTCAAATCCACCAATCATGGGCTCTCCTGTCTGCATATAGAATTCAAAAGTATTCCAATCAATGGTGTCTATAACAGGACACACAATTGCTGTTTCATCTCTCCCAATCCTTTCCAGAAGCGGTTCCAGCCAACCGGAATTACACTCACAGTGACAATCCAAGAAAGTGAGGACATCCCCAGTGGCGAAAGTGGCCCCAATCAGACGGGCCCTAACCAGCCCCTCACGCTTATTGGTCCTAATCAAGCGTACGCGGTCAAGATTGCTGATATAAGTTTCAAGTTGTGTCTTCAAATAAACTCTGTCACTCAAGTCATCCACCAAGATGATCTCTTTCAAAAGCACTGCAGGAGAAGTTTCTAAAACACTGTGAATGGTACGGAGCAAAGTCGACCAGGCTTCATTATAGAAAGCAATGATAACAGATGTGGTAGGAAGTGTCCTATAGTTGAACTTCTTGGACTTACACTCATACATTCTTTTATCCTCTATGTGTCGATGCAGGGAAATCCTGTCACTGAGGTAAATATTGATGGCATATCTCTCAATGAGTTCTTCTTGCTGCTTCAGTTCACCCTCGTTGAGACGGAGTTTGCTGGCTTTCCCCCACTCCCCAAGTGCATGGGAATCTGCAGGGGGCTTCTCATAAAGCGGTTGAGACAAATCCTCTGTATTTTTCTGTAAGTCTGAGAGCCTTCTGGACCCCAGCTCCCTGGCATGGCCGGCTCCTGTGGAGGCATGGAAATTGGAGACCAAGAGCTCCACGAAGATATAGGCCACTGTTAAAAACGCCAGCAGCAGGCAACTCTTGCCTGCCCAAGTCCACCTCACCGCCATCCGGTTCAGGGCTGGGGCGCAGACGCCGCCACCCAGCCTCCACGCAGGGGGAGGGCGGCGGAACCCACAGCTCGAGCTCAGGTACTTTCCAGCAGGTCCTTCCTTTCATGCAGGCGCTGGGCTCCTTTCCAGTCACCCGGGCTTTCCAGGGGTCACCTGGGCTTTCCAGCGGTCACCTGAGCCCTCTCGGTCCTTGGCCCCGGCACAGCCAACTCCTCTCTCCTCACTTCCTCCTCCTGCTCGGCTCACAACTTTTCACAAACTCTCCAGCCAACACCCTACCCTCCCGGGCCGAGGACAAACCCCTCCCCTTCCCACTCACTCCTCCTGGTGGTTAGTTTGCGAAAGTCGTCGCCAGGCCCAGACCGCTGAATAGGGGCAGAGAATAGAGGAGCGGTCCCGGGCTGCACCCCGCCGCACTGGCCCTCGTCTCCGGGTGCTCTCAACCCGCATACAGGCCCTCAGCCGTTCTCCTAGGGGCCCTGCCTGGACAGGAGGAAAGGTTTCCGTTCCGGCCCGTGGAGCTTCTGTCTCATTACAAAAGGAAAACAAGAATAAGACTTACCGAGTTGCTTGCCGTTGGAGCTGAAGTCCAAGGAGGCGAGCGCAGCTTTGTGGCCTTTGAAATAACGCTCCAGAACGGGGTCCTCCTGGAAAGGAAAGTTGTCAAGTTTTGAAAGTGGCCGCACACCTCGAATTCTGGGGGCCGGGATCGACGCTGCCACTCCCACGGGGCCCAGCCTCGGAACGGCCACGCAGGCGGCGACTTGGCAGGGCAGGACAGTAGCACGGGCGCCGCGCTCAGTCCCGCCACAGGGCGACGCCGGCACTAGGTCTCCCCACAGGGACCGCAGAGTCCAGCGCATCGCAGGAACCGCGGCCCCTTTGAAATGCACTTTCCCGTGCCCCGCCTGCTGGCAAAGAGCAGGCAGGTGCGAGGATGAGCCTCGGCTTTCGTAATTTTTTTTAAATACCTCCCAGGTGATTCTGACGCAGGCGCTCCAGGGAAACCCTCCGAGAATTCTGGGGGCCAGGGGGCCGCCCGACTCAGTCCGGAGCTCCGGAACTCCGGGAAAAGCGCCCGGGAGCTGGGTCTGGGCTCCGCACTCTGGCCGCCCCGGTGGCAGAGAGTGAGATGCGGATACCCCAGGACAAGGGGCTCAAGACCCGGTAGCAGACACCTGCCTCCATCTCCTGTCAGGTGCGGCTTCGGCCCGGACCTGGCTAGCAGCCCGCAGGACAGGCTCCGGGGAGGAACTCCCACCACCCGCCCCCCCATCTACAGTCCGTCCTTACCGTGGCTGAGGCCATCGGAGGAGCGTTCGGCGCCTGACCCCTAAGGGGGGAGAACCCAGGGAGGGGAGGGGAGGGGAGGAGAGGGGGCGAGAGGGGACCTTGCAGCGCCCGGAACCGTCTGCCTAAAGCGGCAGCACCTCCCGGTCACTACAACAACGGCGGCCCAGTTAAACTCTGCGCTCAAGGCATGGCCAGTCGAGCCCCGAGACCTCGCCGACGCTGTAAAGAGCGGGTGGGAGGGATGCTCCGGATCAGCTGTGGCCACACACCAAAGCCCATGTTTACTAACACTCGCGTTCCCCCACATTTCATGTCAGTAAGTGGGGTAGTAACCAGGATGTGAATAAGGGATGAATGGAAGGGAGTTGTGAGCCTGTGATCGATGCAATCAGAGTTCTATTACGTTTTAAAGAGACAGCACCCGAGACGTTCAAGATGGTCCCCTACTGCTTACTTTGTTGAAAAGCTTTGACAGGAGAGGGACAATTTGCTAGTTATTACGATACTAAAAGAAACTAAATACCCGGAAGGCAGATTTTTTCCACTGTTTTCCACACAGTTCCCTGCATGATATTGATATAGATGCTGGATGTGCGTGAGAAATGAATGAGTGACTGAATGAATAAATGTTGTGCGTGCACTTAATTTTCTGAGATATGTTTCCATTCTCATCTGCTCATTGGCGTATGCCTTAGAGCACTAAACTTACACAGCAGAATAATTAAAGTCTTTAGGAAGACTTGGAAACATTGTTTTTGTTTGTTCTTTTTCTTTTCTTCTTCTTCTTCTTTTTTTTTTTTTTTTATTATGAGACTGAGACCGTGTTACTACAGCAGGCTTTGTTACACAGAGTATCGTTTGTGCTTCAGCCAAACTATGAAGTAGGTAGAATTACAAAATGTTTTCAATGTTTCCAAGTTATAAATGATTTCTACATATTGATCTTAGAGGTCATACAGAGACAGCTCTTCTAATTCTAAGTCCATATCCTTTTTTAACCCTGCCTCAAAGCATGATGTTCTGAGCTGAAAATTACATATAGTGTAAGGATCCTTTGCAGCATGAAAAGGCATGAAAGAACACAGCTGGTAAGATGTGTGTTTTATGCAACTGAAAGGTATGCTACACACCTTAATTGCAGATTCCCTAGTTGTCTAGTGATTGAGTTTAATTTTATTGAATACAGTACTTAACAATCAGGTAGGCTTTAGATTACAGTATTAGTTAATTTAAGTATACATTTGTTAAATATCTGTTATATGTTTGGCCTTGAGGGACACAAAGATGACTAAGATATTTCCCCTACCTTTGAGAACTCATCAATCTAGGGTTGATGAGTCTCATGTTTTAGCATTTGTAATGTTGATTTAGGGGCAGCATTTCCAGAGATGCTGAATAAACATAAATAGGGTTGAATCCAGGGCCCTTCTGATGTAACAAGCACCATAGATGATTACTATGGGAGTCTCAGCAGTCTATGTTGAGAAATACTGTATTAGTCTAGGAGATGAGATGTTAAGATTGTTGATACCAGGAACTTGCCAACAAACTGTGGTAGGACTCTTAACTTTGCTACTTATTCTCAGTTTAGGTTTGACTTATTTTAAAAGCCTGCCATGTTTAAAAATAATGCTGGATACTGGTGGGAATGTAAAATGATGTAGCTCTGTGAAAAAGTTTGTCAGTTCCTCAAAAAGTTAAACACAAAATTACCTTATAATCCATCAGTTTCACTGCTAGGTATATCCCATAAGTATTGAAAGCAGGCACTCTAACAGATGCCAATATTCAAAGCAAGCATTATTTACAGTAGCCAAAAAGTGGATACAATCCAGGTATCCAACAGATGAATGGATCAACAAAATGTGATATATAGATATAAGGAAATATTATCCTGTGATAAAAAGAAGTGAAATTCTGATACAAGCTACAACATGGATGAACCTTGGAAACATTGTGCTAAGTGAATAAGCGAAACACAAAGGAGCATATATTGTATGATTCCACTCATAAGAGGTATCCAGAATAGGTGAATATATAAAGGCAGATAGTAGAATACAGTTTACTAGGGCTAGGGGTAAGGGAGACTGGGGAGTTACTGTTTAATGGGTGCAGAGTTTCTATTTAGAATGATGAAGTTCTGGAAATAGATCGTGGTAATGTTTGCACGACATTGTAAATGTACTTAATGCCATCACATTATACATTTAAAATGGGTAAACTGGTAAATTTCATTATAGGTATTTCACCACAATAATAACATAATAATGCCAGAAGCTGAAGAGTAATCAGGACCTCAGGATTACTCATAGCCAGTGTTATGTCTAATATTGGGCACAGTAGAAGAAGAAAAAGGAAGAAGTTGGATATTTAGAAACTACCTCAAAATAATTTAAAAATACAGATTTTTATTTAAGTGTTTTAGTAAAAATTTAGTTTTTACTTTTTTTCTCAATTATCAAAAAACATGTTTTCAATTTAAAAGATGGGAGAGAAATTACCTATTAGTCCTATCACCTAAAGTTGATCTTAAAAAATTGGTCACCCACTGATATTGGATTTGTGTCTCCACTTAAGTCTCAGGTGCAATTGTAATCCCCAGTGCTGGAGGAGGGGCCTGGTAGGAGGTGACTGGATCATGGGGTTGGATTTCCCCCTTAATGTTCTCATGATAATGAGTGAGTTCTCATGATATCTGGTTGCTTAAAAGTATGTAGCACTTCCCTGCTTTATCTTTTCCTCCTGCTCCAGCCATATAGGATGTGCCTGCTTCCCCTTCCCTTTCTGCCATGATTCTAAGTTTCCTGAGGCCTCCCCAGCCATGCTTCCTGTACAGCCTGCAGAATCACGAGCCAATTAAACCTCTTTTCTTTGTAAATTACCCAGTCTCAGGATTTCTTTATAGCAATGTCAGAACAGACTACTATAGCTACCTATGTTTTCACTACATGCTAGGTACTTTTCTAAGTGCATTACAAATTTTGACACTTAATGATCATAATATTCTTATTAGAGAAGTGCTATTATTACCATTTCCATTTTATAGATGAGGAAATCGATATGCAGAGACATTAAGTTACTTGGCCAAGGCACACTGCTATCTAGGAAGTGGCAGGGTTGAGATTTTTAGACACTCACAGTCTGCCTCCAGAGTCCACTGTCTTAATCACTGTCATGACTTTTGTGTAATTGCAAGTGTATTGCAAATGTATAAAACATTGTGTTCTTGTCAAGGTTTTAATAATAATAAGTTTTATAAAAATGAAAGTAATGGCTCCTTTATTTTCATTCCACTGTCCTCACTTACTACTTTAAACTGCCTTTCCTATTGTTCTTTTCCATATTTGATTTTGTCCTTTTCTGCTTTTCTTCACCTTTGCAAACAGCAAAAGCTCAGAGGGAGACATTTGGAACTGTGGTCAAAGTTGGGGAAGTTTTTTCTAACCTCAAGCCTAATTCCAGTTGCTGCAGTGATTATTTAGACCTCTCTAGATTGCAACCTAATCATTTATATGAGTGGGAGCCACAGCAGGATCAGTGTTTAAAAACCTACAGGCTGGGCGTGGTGGCTCACGCTTGTAATACCAGCAGTTTTGGAGGCCGAGGCAAGTGGATCATCTGAGGTCAGGAGTTCAAGATCAGGCTGGCCAACATGGCAAAACCCCGTCTCCACTAAAAATACAAAATAAATAAATAAAATGAATTTTAAAAACCTACAGGGTTTTACTGGAGGCCAGGTACTAGGTAAGACAGACTGACCTCTAATTAGCCCTTCCATTCTAGTTCCCCCTAAAATAGAAATTGCATTTATTTGCATGAGCATTATAGTTCTTTTTATTTTAGCAATGGTGATTTGGCCTTCAAATTCGGAAATTCTGCATAGCTCAAAAGTGCCATCTGCTGTTCATATTACTATATAGCACTTGGAGTGAACATACTTTAAGCCTGTTTACAGGCAGTGGAACTCCCTTATTGATACACTTCCTCCAAAGTAGAGGAGAGCACATGGAAAAGTACAAGATGAGTTTGAATCAATAACGAATCACATTTTTGAAAACAGCATGATTCATTTAAGTCGACATTCAGTCTCCAAGTTCTATCAATGATACCCTCACTATATGTGTGTGTGTGTGTGTGTGTGTGTGTGTACATGCACATACACAGACACATACACACACACACACATGTGATGGGCTGCCCAGATGCCTTGAACTCCTGGACTCAAGTGATCCCCTGCAGCAGCCTCCCAGGTAGCTGGGATTATAGGCATGCTCCTCACCATATATTTTATCTTCTTATCTTTTCGCCCTGTGGTTCCTGTCACTCCACAGACCCTGCCTTCTACCTTCTAGAATATTTCAGTAACCACCAACTTGCTTTCTGATCTCAAAACTTCTCCTCTCCACCTGTCTAACCTGCATTTATCAACAAACAACGTACGATTCACCAAGGTAGCTTGCTAAAAGTAAAGATTTTTGGGCCTCGCTCCAGAGGTTTTGATTTAGAAGGTCTAGTGTGAATACTAGAAATCTGCATTTTTAAACAAGGTTTCTAGGTGATTATAATGTGCCTCAACATTTGGGAACCACTGGGCATATCATGCCATAGATCTTCTTTAAAATGTACTTTAAGTTCACTTTTAAATGCCTCAAACCAAGTCCTATTTT